CGTATATAGTTATGTCGTTAGAAAAATATTGTATACTGGGTAATAGACACGTCTCCATACTACCTGCCTCGATTAGCTCCGCTATTTTGCAGGTAGTCTGTATTTGTAATTAATTTATTGTGAATGTAAACAAATAAAGCTTGAGGTTAAAAGGCTCAAAATCCTCAAAAACCATACAATATCAGGCTGTACTTACCTACCTAGCCCATCCATATATGGGATTATCCCCCCCCCCCCACCACCTCGAAGACTTCACGTGCCACGTGGCAAGCAAATATGGATTTGGACGACGAATACATGAATTCATGAATTCATGAATTTTCTGTTGTTAAATGTTGCTTTTGTTATTTAAATATTTTTGAATTTAAACTTGATTCATATCTTTTTAGTGATATGTCACAGGAAGTTTCATGTCTTTCATAAAAGCGATTCTACTTGGTCACGTGATTAATCAAGGCAGAAAAAAATTTATAGCGGTAGACATGCATGTTTGACCAAGGAAAATGTCACAGTGATGTTACGCGCTAGCAGACGTCATCATTTTGTTTATGAAGTACCATGCATATTTTGGTATTATATTAATGTTAACGAAGTAAGTTGAATCACTCTCAAAAAGTTATTACAAAGTGCGATGGAATTATTACAAACTGCGGCAGCTTAGTTTATTACAAAGTGCGATAGACAGTTGTTACAAATTGCGACAGCTTTTTATTACAAAGTGCGACAGGTATTACCAAGTGCGATGGATTTATTACAAATTGCGACAGGTATTACAAAGTGCGATGATTATAACAAATTGCGACGGTACATGGGTACAGGGCGCGCCCGCTCGCCCCTCCCCATGCTACGGCACTGAAAGAGTACTTCTTCACTCACGCTGGACGGGAAAAAAATTTACTAGCCTAGAGTAATTTTACACGACATCTGATTAAAACTAATATTTTACACATATTCTAAAAATATAAACTGTTTAAGGGCGTACCTGCAAGGTACCTAACCCCTAATCCTGGTTAACAATTCGTAATCAGTTCTTATGATCAAGTTATGAAAAACTGAAAACATAATGACAAGTTTCGTTTGTATCCGAGTATATTGTCATGACATCTGTTCTCAGTTGGCAAGTAAGTTAAGTATTAGCTTGGGCCCGGAAAGATACTTAAATCAAATCAAATCAAATCAAGCGTTTGATTCCGCTTTGTTAACCAAAATGTCTTTGATAGAGGTTGTGTTTTCACTAGGGCGATTAACTAGCTGAACATTCTTTCTAGGATTTGTTTACAAACCGACTTTTACTAGTTAAACGTGACAACTGTTTTCACTGTGAAATTTAACCGGCAATCTAAGCCACTAACTCAGAGGATTCAAATTGCAAAAGGGCGCCATAATAAAAAATGAAAGGGGATGAAGTGCTTGTAATGACTTCTCTTGTGATTATTTTCGCTGTATTTTTGCGAAAATTTGTTATTTGTAAGGCGCAAAATAGCATTTAAATATGATCTTATGTGCTCATTGCGTAAACATCAATTCCTGAAAAGTTCTGAACTCTAGCAGTGCTTGCAATTTTCAGGATATGTGTGTCAAATGAAAGTCAGCCAGGCCTACAACTAGTCGAAAAGTTGGCTACGCCCCTGACTGCTTGCTGATCGTGGTAGTGAGCTTTCTTTGCATGTCTGATCCACAACATTTGTCCTGTATCCATTTGCCTCTCTATTAAAGTTTTGCTCAAATAAATTTTCATCAATGCGAAAGGCCGTCTCCTATAGGTTTTGCCGCGCGGATAATAGATGGCCTAAAAATCAAACTTGCAATGACATTAGGCCTATTACCGATTACGACATGGACGCTCTATAGCTTCATAGGCTCCTCATTACGCCCTGCTCTTTATTCCCAGTAAATTTTCACAACAACAACGCAACAAAAATGAGTTTCATATTAGCTGATGATATTTGGTGGTGAGGTGAGGCACGCATATTTGTATTTTCCAGGTTATTTATTTTCTTTTCAGGATTTATTTCAGTACCGTGCCGTAAACGAAAATGGCGCACATAATAAGATGATTATCGCAATAGTAAATGCTGCTGATAGGATGAAGGGAATAATCTATCCCAAAAAAAGTAACTGGTTTGATAAAAATAACATCCTACTATACGTATCACATAATACATCCAAAATTAGTTAGTTGAGTTTGGTTAACTTTTTGGAATACTTTAATCAAATTACTGAGAACGGGGAATTGAGAACCATTATTTTAATCTTTAGCAAATCAGAAATTTCTTTTGAATTAATTTCAATTAATCGTAACCATTGCAATTTCCGAGAAAATAAATGCATTCAGTTTTTTGGTGAAAGAGCTTTTAATACCAGTTATCCAAAATAAGGGAAAATTTCCCCAATTTGTCTCTGAGAGACACAGTCTAATGTCACAAATTCGTCCATTTTGGAGAATCCCCAGTTTACTAGGGTATGTGGTTGCTGCTATGGTTATTGGGATAACTTCTGTGATTGGTGGATTTTGCTGAGTGCACTTAATAATGAGTTCTAAAAATAAAATGAGAAGTCTCCAGAGTCTTCAGGAATTGATCAGTAGTTTTATGTTTACACTTATTTATATGGCAAGAAAACAAATTTAAACGACGACAAACAGCTCTTTGCGAAATGAGTTCTAGTACGGCCAATAAAATGAGAGGTGCCCAGACTCTTTAAAATATTAATCAATGTATTGATGGATACAATTTTTTTCGGACGAGAAGGACATATTTGCTAAATATAGGGGAAAAAAGATAAAAAACGCCATTTCGCAAAATAGTAATTCTGGCAAAATTACTACTTTGCGAAATGAGTTCTAGCACGGTCAATAACATGAGAAGTCACCAGACTCAATTTGTTTCAGACGAAAAGGACATATTTGCTAANCAAAAAAAGTAACTGGTTTGATAAAAATAACATCCTACTATACGTATCACATAATACATCCAAAATTAGTTAGTTGAGTTTGGTTAACTTTTTGGAATACTTTAATCAAATTACTGAGAACGGGGAATTGAGAACCATTATTTTAATCTTTAGCAAATCAGAAATTTCTTTTGAATTAATTTCAATTAATCGTAACCATTGCAATTTCCGAGAAAATAAATGCATTCAGTTTTTTGGTGAAAGAGCTTTTAATACCAGTTATCCAAAATAAGGGAAAATTTCCCCAATTTGTCTCTGAGAGACACAGTCTAATGTCACAAATTCGTCCATTTTGGAGAATCCCCAGTTTACTAGGGTATGTGGTTGCTGCTATGGTTATTGGGATAACTTCTGTGATTGGTGGATTTTGCTGAGTGCACTTAATAATGAGTTCTAAAAATAAAATGAGAAGTCTCCAGAGTCTTCAGGAATTGATCAGTAGTTTTATGTTTACACTTATTTATATGGCAAGAAAACAAATTTAAACGACGACAAACAGCTCTTTGCGAAATGAGTTCTAGTACGGCCAATAAAATGAGAGGTGCCCAGACTCTTTAAAATATTAATCAATGTATTGATGGATACAATTTTTTTCGGACGAGAAGGACATATTTGCTAAATATAGGGGAAAAAAGATAAAAAACGCCATTTCGCAAAATAGTAATTCTGGCAAAATTACTACTTTGCGAAATGAGTTCTAGCACGGTCAATAACATGAGAAGTCACCAGACTCAATTTGTTTCAGACGAAAAGGACATATTTGCTAAATAAAGGTGAAAAAACTCCATTTCGCAAAGTAGTAATTCTGGAAAAATTACTACTTTGCGAAATGAGTTCTAGTACGGCTAATAAAATGAGAAATCACCAGACTCTTCGAAATATTAATCATTTTATTGGTGGACACAAAATATAGGTGAAAAAACGCCATTTCGCAAAATAGTAAATGTATTGAAATTACTACTTTGCGAAAAAGGTAAAAATCCGTCATTTTTCGTTAACTATTACTTCCAAACACATTGTCAATGTTGTCTTAAGCTGTGTTTAGGTTAATAAGCATTTTTTCTCCTTCTCCCATATATTTCGTTTCGTTTCGTTTCGTTTCGCAAAATAGAATAAGCCAGGCAACAGTCTGGAAAATAATATTACCAGATTATTTGGCAGGCGTCTGTAACTACGCGCGACCCGATTGGCTACGGCGTTTATCAGGACAAGTTATACCATCTCGCGAGGTAGTATAACTCTGCATGAATTTCCGCTCGTAAAGGCGAGAAAATCCCTTGTTTTTGCTTGTGAAAACAGGTTGCATTTTTTAATTAGCTAAAACCAATACGAGGTGTTTTCACTGTATTTCCGGACTTTTCCGGCTTTATCTAGTTAAAAGCGCAGGAATCTTTGACCCCTTTTCAACTCTGTTTTCTGTAAATATTATTCAGAATAATAATAATAATAAAAATCGTGACATGTTTCATGTGTCGATGAATACAGAGAGTTTGAAGGCAAGAAAGCCTGACAACGCAAATGAAACTCGACAACTATTTCTTCTTGCTGATTCTTTAAAAAATAAGATGCACATAAATAAGACGTGTCACTCTTAGTTACAATGGACACGTGCTCGTGTCACTAAACCAAATCGATTGAAAAACGGGAATCGTAAATAAGAGTTTCTACTATTCTTTACTTACAATTTATTCCTCAAACTAAAAGGAGACGTTTGATTTTGAAAAAATCAAAGGTCCGGGAAAGAGCGGGGCTGATGAATTGAGTTCATAACTATTAATTAGGAATTTATCTGTCTAAATCCCTCAAACGAGGGATTTATACAGATAAATCCCTAGACTGAGGGGTTCTATACAAACAAATTGATGGCGTGATTGTCAACTTGTGAACTATTGACCCTTTTTCAACGATAATGATGTACGTTCAGCAAATAGTGAATTTCAATACGCGCCCTAACAAATCGCCATCGACTGGAATTCAAACGTTTTTAATCGAATGGTCGAATCAGATCTGTTATCACACACTCATTTTAAATGAAACGGTATTGCAGTATGATACGTCGACAAACAGCAATTAATGTTTTCCTTCTCTTCGTGGTCATACTTAATTTTATAACGGAAAGCCAGTCCGTTTGGAGCAGTCGTAGACGCAGGCGGAGACGCCGCAGTTGTTCTCCAGTGAACTGTCAGATGAGCCATTGGTCTTCTTGGTCGCCTTGCAGCGCTTGGCAGTGTGCAACCTCTGGTAACCAACAAAGGACAAGGCACGTGATTACCCATCCTAGCTGCGGTGGGGCAGACTGCCCCTCCAACATGCAAGAAAATAGAGTATGTTACGGCAATACGCCAATTAACTGCCAGGTCATTTCTTGGTCCTCTTGGTCGGTGTGCAGCACAGTGCAGTGCGGGAAATCAGGCTTTGAACAGCGATCGCGGTATATAATTAGGCATTCTAATTGTGGAGGAACAGCTTGCCCCTCCGCGTTGCAAGAAACTAGGATCTGTTATGGAACTAAAGCGTCTGCATGTGTCTATTCCACATGGTCGACATGGAGCTCGTGTCCAGCATTCCAGTGTGGAGATACTCAAACAAGCAGTAGACAGATTCATGAAAGAGAGCAATGTGGGGGAACACCATGTAATATCACGGCCTTAAGGAAAACTCGAGCTTGTAAACAAACATTTTGCGTCAACCAGGGAAAGTTATCAGACGGGAAATGTTACTGCAAGTCGGGTTTTCATGGTAGCTGCTGTCAGTATAGTAGTAAGTATACTTGCATAATTTATCCTATTTTAAAAGGCATTTTCAGTTTTCGAATTTCTTCGGTGAGGTGCGTTATAATCCGAAACACTCCGGTACTCACTTTTAAAATCGAATGGCTGTTTTGAAGCATTTAGCATCTCGAATATCTTGGATCTTCAAAGCAATTAGTAGTTTTAGTTCTGCATCATTCAAAGGCAACACTAAAATATATAGTACTATGTATAGAAAACTTCGAAATGACGTGATCTCTTTTCTTTAATCCACGGCGGAACTGGGAGGGAAAAATAAAGACAAGACAAAGCAACTTCAATCTTATCATTTTTCTAACATGAAGTGATTCTATTATGGGGTATATTACGATTGCAGGATCAGTAAACAAACGTTGTTGAATAAAATACCATGACCAAATTAGGGATAAAACGCCATCTAGTTCCCCCAGCCCCTCGTGGTCTAATCCCACCCATCCATTGGGATAACGTAAAAGCGCCATTCGAATTACCTTACATTAATCACTTTAATCCTAACTCTTTGCGAGTACAAATATACGAAAACTTTGACCGACAGCCGTATAGTAAGTTGACAGGAATATTATTTTAAGGATGTGTAAAATGCCTGCTTTGTAAAACCGCACTTTACCAATGTTTTTTTTTTTTTAAATTAACATTTAACTCATTGCCATTCCGCCGACCTTTGTGTTTCCATATACATTACTTGGTGGCTTCTAAGTTCTGTCAAAGTCGTTGGGTTTCTTTATCGTGTCTTTTTTCTTTGAATTTTTTTGGTTTAAATGGATAAAAAAGGAATTCAATTCTCGTTCTTGAATGGCCTTGCTGTACCTGACCTTTCCTTTCTTCACTGATTTATTTTCATTTCATTATCAAGGTTCATAAAAAGGGGAAATCAAAATAAAAAGAGAAAACAATAATTAACCAATTTGCTCATACCGCGCTAGCACGCTAGTTGATGATAGCACACTCATCCCAGCAGTCAATTTAAATTTAATCTTATGAAGACTATGTACCACTTGAACTACACACTGTATATGACACAAAGTTTGAGTTGCGTATATATAGCATTCCCAGACACGTATTGATTTTTAACCTGTTTTATTATAGAACTGCGGGTTGGAGACATTTAGTTTCCCGCATCAGGTCACCACGAAAATATTTTTGATCCAGAAAAATCCCAAACCCTGTCAACCCTAGTTTGCTGACCCGGCGCGGAGTTGGGAGGGAGTAAAAAAGTTTTGAAATGTCAAAGACCGTCGCAACCTATCCTTTGCCGTGTGTTTTTTCTTTAATCTTTCGGGAAAAAATTGAACAGAAAATAACCCCCTTGGTAATAATTCAGTTTCGTTCATGCTTTCTGAGAATAAAATAGATTTGAGTACGCTATGTACATTACATAGAATGTACGAGTTGTGACTTTCTTTTCAAGTTATTACCACCACCTAATCAGTAATTGGCTCAACTAGCTCAATGTATGTTAAGCTAGTGATAAATCTCAGAATGGCTCGTTACCGTGACGTGACTAATATCACGGAAAGATACATGTCCATGCACATCGATGTCCGACTGGGAAGTTTTGTTTGTACCCCACATTGAAGTCACGTTTTACGAACGTATGATTGACGTAACAATTGCTGCTGATTGGCAGCAAGCAATGCCAAACGCTCAGTGTGGTCTGAAAAGCACAAACTCTTTTGCGCTTTACAATAATAGTATCATTGACCTCTAGCTAAATAGCTAAAGAATTTCGATGTAACCGCTCTCAGGTCCGTTGTCTCGAAAGCCACTCAATCATGTAAATTAGCTCTGACACAGATACCAGACAGTAGAATCTTGACCTTTCCGTGATGTCTTTCATGTTCGGCAATTGGCTAGTTTTTTATAATTGCAAGGACAAATTACCATTTTTTTTTCTGAATTTACACCTTACGTTCTTTTTTCTCTTTATTTGAACTGTTTTAGTTTTGATTAATGCTTTCATTTAAGCCCAATGTAACTGATAACGGCAGCAAAGAACAAATTTCCTCTAGCGTCAATCCGGCGGTGTCAATCAATAAATTATGCTTTGACAGTGTCAAGTAACAATGCATTTTACACAATCCGTTTACATCTATTCTAAAAAGATGACTATCTATTTCGCTCTTCTCGATCTCCGAGGTGCAATTCTCTTTCTGGCTCTCGTACGTATCTCATCTAGTCAAACCATCCCGCCATGCAACAACAATGACTGCTGTCAAAAGGCAAAACATCAAGAACTTGACAATTCTCGTCGCAGTACGCAGAGCCACTTCAAGCTTGGCCAAGTTCCGCTGTGCGACAAAGATCTGAAAGCGGGATGGTACCGATTTATCAGCTTTGTCGGTGGCGAAATGCCTACCACAAAAGTGGACGAAAATCGTTGTGGAACCCTGCATCCAATTTGGCTAAGAACCCGGACTGGCATGCATCCCCTTCCCTCTAACACGGCTGCTCCGGTGACAGTCACGGCATGCGTCAACATCAATGAAAGAAATGGCGGTTGCTTCTATTCGTTCAACGTAGGCGTCAAATTTTGCCCAGGCAACTATTTCGTCTACTATCTCACACCGATGCGTTCATGTAGCATTGCTTATTGCGCTGGTAAGATTTCCTTAAAAGCAGTAAACAAGTCAACAATCATTGAAGGCGAAACGTCCACGGTAAATTACTCACCTGTACCGGTTACAGTTTGGACTGTGGACAATTTAACATCCACTTAGCGTCAACTTCTATCGCTGATCCTTACCTAGCAAAAAATCCCTTCGATCCTAAGTTACAGTTACGTTATTCCCCGGGGGCACCCTTTAAATTTTATATGGGGGTGTCTCGCTAAGTCTTTGAGACTCTGGACCAAGTCAGGCCAGCGGACGACGAGTGGGGCGTAGTTTTGCACCAAAGCTAGATCAAAAATAATTAGGGATGATATGGAATAAATCGACCTTGTTGTTGTTTCAAAATCACTGAAGAATGGTAAATGAACATTCTTCTTCCGGAGATCAAGGGCGATGTTCCAGGCAAAAGCATTACGCTGTTGATCGGCATATGGTCCATATATTGGAGTAGGCCCTGCCCGGAGTTGTTCTCAGACAAGCTAATTAAGAGATGATTTTACAGTGTGCCCGGAGTGTGACTGCGTGTGGTTTTTGTAAACGTTCCACAGGTCAACCCTTAACATAGTAGTTGGGTTGATAATTACTAACTACTTGGTATCCTTTCCTACTTCATGATCATGTAAAGTCGGTTTAATATCCGGAGGGGGGGGGGGAGGTTAATACTTGTATTTTCCCTTTGATGAAAGGCGGTACAGTAGTAAAAAATTCGGCTTTTGCGGAGCGGAATGATACAAAAGACCGCCAAGGTTTGTTCGACAGAGTCTGATTTCAAATGTTTCTAAATAGAACGAGTTGAAGTATTGACTCAATGAAAAGCAAAATTGCAATTAGCATGATAGCTTGGACGTCTCGAGGCTTAAGTGTTTATCATTTCGCAACAACATTAACATATGGATGGCTTGCTATACTCCACTCGGATATCGTTTAAAGGGTTTTTTTTCACCGTCTAGGAATTTTTCAAAGGTTTTCTTGTACAGCCCAATTCTTGGACACAGTGTACGGATTCATTTTGCGGTCTATCACAAGATGGGTATGGAAATTTCTAGAGTTTAACCCAAATGCATATAACGGATACAGATTCAAAAATTCTTATTTGTGAGGTAGTTTATATTTGTAATTTATTTATTGAAAATGAAAACAAAAAAAGCTTGAGTAAAAAAGGCTCAAAACCCTCAAAACCCATACAATATCGCGCTGTACTTACCCACCGAGCCCCCCCATATGGGGTATTACCCCCCCCCCCACCACCTCGAAGACTTCACGTGCCACGTGGCAAGCAAATATGGATTTGGACGACGAATACATGAATTCATGAATTCATGAATTTTCTGTTGTTAAATGTTGCTTTTGTTATTTAAATATTTTTGAATTTAAACTTGATTCATATCTTTTTAGTGATATGTCACAGGAAGTTTCATGTCTTTCATAAAAGCGATTCTACTTGGTCACGTGATTAATCAAGGCAGAAAAAAATTTATAGCGGTAGACATGCATGTTTGACCAAGGAAAATGTCACAGTGATGTTACGCGCTAGCAGACGTCATCATTTTGTTTATGAAGTACCATGCATATTTTGGTATTATATTAATGTTAACGAAGTAAGTTGAATCACTCTCAAAAAGTTATTACAAAGTGCGATGGAATTATTACAAACTGCGGCAGCTTAGTTTATTACAAAGTGCGATAGACAGTTGTTACAAATTGCGACAGCTTTTTATTACAAAGTGCGACAGGTATTACCAAGTGCGATGGATTTATTACAAATTGCGACAGGTATTACAAAGTGCGATGATTATAACAAATTGCGACGGTACATGGGTACAGGGCGCGCCCGCTCGCCCCTCCCCATGCTACGGCACTGAAAGAGTACTTCTTCACTCACGCTGGACGGGAAAAAAATTTACTAGCCTAGAGTAATTTTACACGACATCTGATTAAAACTAATATTTTACACATATTCTAAAAATATAAACTGTTTAAGGGCGTACCTGCAAGGTACCTAACCCCTAATCCTGGTTAACAATTCGTAATCAGTTCTTATGATCAAGTTATGAAAAACTGAAAACATAATGACAAGTTTCGTTTGTATCCGAGTATATTGTCATGACATCTGTTCTCAGTTGGCAAGTAAGTTAAGTATTAGCTTGGGCCCGGAAAGATACTTAAATCAAATCAAATCAAATCAAGCGTTTGATTCCGCTTTGTTAACCAAAATGTCTTTGATAGAGGTTGTGTTTTCACTAGGGCGATTAACTAGCTGAACATTCTTTCTAGGATTTGTTTACAAACCGACTTTTACTAGTTAAACGTGACAACTGTTTTCACTGTGAAATTTAACCGGCAATCTAAGCCACTAACTCAGAGGATTCA